TGAAAAATCCCACACAACACTGTCTCCATACAAACCCATTCTGGCTGGGTGCATGGCCCAGGCCTATAACCCCAACATTTTGGGAAGCCCAGGTGGGAGGATCATGGGAGCCCAGGAGTTCAAGACCAGTCTGGGCAACATAGTGAGACACTGGTCTCTATAAAAATAATTTTAAAAAATTAGCCAGGCATGGTGGTGGGCACCTGTAGTATCAGCTACTTAGAAGGCTGAGGCAGGAGGATCGCTTGAGCCCAGGAGTTAGAGGCTACGGTGAGCTGTGATCACGCCACTGTACTCCAGCCTGGACAACAATGCCCTGTCTCTACAAAAAAAAAAAAAGTTTTGTCATTTTTTTAAAGAGATTATTTGCAGTCAGGTGAGGTGGCTCACACCTGAGCACATTGGGAGGCAGAGGCTAGAGGATCACTTGAGCCTAGGAGTTGGAGACCAGCCTGGGCAACAGAACAAGATCGTCTCAAAATCAATCAAACAAACAAAAAACAAAACAAACAAACAAACAAAGACAAATTCTGTTACTGACTTTAGGACTCATCTGGGACATCCCAACCCTGTCCCACCTCCCCCATCGCTCTGCTGTTCTCAAGGGGAGGGGACACCCACATCAGTGGCTGAAAGGCTAGGGGCACCATCAGAGAGCAGCCTGGGGGACAGAGGCCCCCACGGAAAATAACGGCAGTAACTAACAGGATGAATTGTGCCACCCTAAATCATCAAAAAATTACTGTGGGCCGGGCGCGGTGGCTCAAGCCTGTAATCCCAGCACTTTGGGAGGCCGAGACGGGCGGATCACGAGGTCAGGAGATTGAGACCATCCTGGCTAACACGGTGAAACCCCGTCTCTACTAAAAAATACAAAAAACTAGCCGGGCGAGGTGGCGGGCACCTGTAGTCCCAGCTACTCGGGAGGCTGAGGCAGGAGAATGGCGTGAACCTGGGAGGCGGAGCTTGCAGTGAGCTGAGATCCGGCCACTGCACTCCAGCCTGGGTGACAGAGCAAGACTCCGTCTCAAAAAAAAAAAAAAAAAAAAAAAATTACTGTGCATTTAAAAAAATACACTAAATTTAGCCAAGTCATGTCATAAGATGCTAATAAGGCCAATGACTAAATTATATAACTTTATTTCTATAAAAATATGCTTTTGCTGTGAACCTAAAACTGCTCTATAAAAAGTCTATTAAAAAATATGCTGTGTCATTCAACTTTTAAAACAGATTTAAAAATTAACTGACTACAAAAAGCATTTTCCTATAAAAGATCTCTGTTTTTAAAAACACAGCTTACTAGGTTTGAAGAGACCAAGTTTAACTATGAGCTGAACCTCAGGATAAAACAGACTTTGTTTTGTATAATTATATTAACATTAGAAGATCTGCATAACTCAATCAATAATCTTCCCAATGGCCAAGTATGATGTTACAAAATCACACAGAGGTGCCAAAAGATTCATTCAAAATGAAAGATAGAGCAACGGGTTTTAACGTAACACAGTATAAAACATCCATGGATATTACAGCAGAGGATGACTTAAGGCCAGGAGTTTGAGACCAGCCAGGGAAACGCGGCAAGACCCCATCTCGACCAAAAGTAACTAACTAACTAATTAAATAAATAAATAAATAAAAGAAATTAACTGGTTTGGTGGTGCTCACTTGTAGTCCCAGCTACTTGGGAGGCTGAGGCAGGAGGACTGTTTGCGCCCAGGAGGGCGAGGCTACAGTGAGCTATGATTGCACCACTGCACTCTAGCCTGGGCGACAGAGCAAGACGCTGTCTCAAAAAAATAAATAAATAAATAAAAAGAAATTACCCAGCCAGGCGCAGTGGCTCACGCCTGTAATCCCAGCACTTTGGGAGGCCAAGGCAGGCAGATCACCTGAGGTCAGGAGTTCGAGATCAGCTGGCTTACATGATGAAACCCTGTCTCTACTAAAAATACAAAATTAGCCGGGCGTGGTGGCACATGCCTGTAATCCCAGCTACTCAGGAAGCTGAGGCAGAAGAATCGCTTGAACCTGGGAGGCAGAGGTTGCAGTGAGCTGAGATCGTGCCACTGCACTCCAGCCTGGGCAACAGAGCGAAACTCTGTCTCAAAACAAAAACAACAACAAAAGAAACTATCCCTTGTCAGGTTTTAGTGAGGTATCCAGGAACATCCGCAATATCTGAAAAGGCTACAAAAACACTCCCTTTTCCAACTACGTATCCTCAGGAGGCTGGCTTTTCTCCATGTACTTCAGCCTAAACATGCATCAACGCCGACTAAAAGCAGAAGCAGCCATGGATTCCAGCTGTCTTCTATTAAGCCAGACATTACAGAGTTCTACCAAAAAACCTCTTATTCTATTTTTTTTGGGGGGAGGGAATATATTTTTTTCATAAAAATATTTTTTGAAATAGAGTATTATTGCTATTTTTGAGTAGATGAATAAATATGTATATTTTAATTTCTAATACGGTCAGCGTCAACAGATAGAGCCTGTATAAACCGAAGCTCTTTGGGATCCCCAGTAATGTGTAGGAAAGAGTATAAAAATGTCCTGAGACTAAAACACATCTAGGAATTGCTCGTATGAGCACAGAATGTCCAGCAGTCATTCTGCCCAAAGAGAACAATGCCCTTTGACACTTAGGGGAACAGGTTAGGGGAGCAGCTTCAGAATACTGGGGTCTCTGCTGAGGGGCAGGGCCTCACCCCCTGGGAACACGGGAGCTACCGAGGTTTCTGGGCAGGGCGGCAACATGATCAGAGCTCAGCGTCCTCTGAGGAAACATACGGAAGACAGTTCACACCTTTCCCAGCAAGGTTCGATGCAAGACTGAGGACAGACGAGATTCTTCTTCATCAAATCATGTATATAATCCCCACCAGGGCCGGGCGTGGTGGCTCACGCCTGTAATCCTAGCACTTTGGGAGGCTGAGGTGGGTGGGTCATTTGAGGTCAAGAGTTCGAGACCAGCCTGGCCAACACAGTAAAACTCTGTCTCTACTAAAAATACAAAAATTAGCTGGGCGTGGTGGCGTGTGCCTGTTATGCCAGCTACTTGGGAGGCTGAGGCAGGAGAATTGCTTGAACCTGGGAGGCGGAGGTCGCAGTCAGCTGAGATCGCCCCACTACACTCCAGCCTGGGAGACAGATGGAGGCTCTGTCTCAAAAAAAAAAAAAAAATTCCCCATCTGTATTCTGTATGCCTATTGATCAGTTTGTATACCTCTTGAAAAGTATTCTTAGGAGAGAAAAGCTATGCTTTGCAAGCAGTTCATGATTTAATGATGGAACTGTTATGTTTAAGTAAAGCAAAACACGCCCGAACTCATCTTCACAGCATCCAAGGAAAACATACATTGTCAACACTGTAGAAATGGGTCAGGTGAGGCGAGTTCTTGAACCCTGGTTCCTCCGACTCCTGGCAGCAAGCCGCACGCCTTCTTGGTTTTGCTTTGTAAACTCACCAGCTACACTCACACGCACATTCTGGTTTTTATACTTTTTAATTACCCGGCAACATTTTACCAGGAAACTAGAAACTCGTGAAAAGTAATAGTCGCAATGAAAATTAAGTGCAAGATCACCCAACGAGTCACGATGCAGGGGCCTATTTCCAGGAAATCAAACTAAAAACATTTTATACAATCCTCTCATTTTAATATGAAATGCTTTAAATGTAGGGTAATTATGGAAATGAGGCATTGCTGCAATTTGAGTTGTCATTAATTTAGCAAGTTTATCCTCTGACATTCACAAGATGCAAAAACAGCAAATCGTAAATTACTCTATCTCCAAATCAAATGCTTTAGTCTCATTTCAGCACACAATTTTAAACATAGCTGCGTCTTTTCAAAAATACTAAATAAGAACACCACTACATCCTACACTTTTAGCACCCACAAACCCTATTCCTCCATCAATATGACAAAGGCTTTCATGCGAATATTCTAAATTCAGTTCAATAATACTACATGACAGCACCCTCCTCAGAGACTGACTTTTAAAATCCTATGTAAGTTCTCTTAAGGCGGCAAGCCCAAAAAATTCAACGTGCACCAAATACTAGAAAGTGGCTCATATTTTTAACATCGACCCAATGTACTTGCTACATGCCCACAGAGCTTTTTAAAGTAACTTTTAACAAGTTGACAGTCTAACTTGGAACAAACACATGTGATACACAATAACTGCCAACTAGCAAAAAACCAGAATAAAGACTTTATTTGGAGATGCCGCATTTCATTTTTTGACTATCAAGATACCACCGGACTAAAACTAAAGCTTCACCCTGTTCCGCGAAGCAGCTCCCCACTAACCTCTACAGCAGTGATTGTTCTCCCCAGGTCTGGTTCAAAACCATCACCCAACAGGAACGTTCCTTCCTTCAGCAGATCCTGCACCTGGATCTGCTCCTCTCCGGTCCTGGGGCCACCAGGTCTCAGGAGTCAGGCCCGATGCCCCTCTTTGTCTCCTCCATGGCTTCCTTCACTAAGAGACCAACCCTCCCTAATCACAGCTCTTCCCGTCACCTTTGGCACTGCAGGCTGATCCTTCACATGGAGAAGCGAGACAGCACCATCTGAGTTTTCACGTCTACCCGCTGGAAAGAGACTGATCTGACACCCTCTCTTGTCCCAAGTGCAAAGCCCAGCTCAGCACATACGCCCACTCCTGCACCAGCCAAGCATGAGCCACCCAGGCGCTGGGTCACCTAAGGGGACTGGGTGAGGGCAGTGACAAGGGTGGGAAAACCCCAGGAGAAGAGGAATGCCGTGACCATCCTTGATGCCGCGTAGTGAGGCGTTCGACTTCCCCAGGTCTGGGGTACTTTTCCAATTAATTTCAAGATAATGTCATGTCAATCTGTGACTAATTTTATGATGGTTATACAATGTGTAAGTAATTGTATAATTCGATATTCTTCAAGTGACCAGTTGGAAATAGCCACGCAAAACTGGCTTCTGTATGTTTTATTTATTAATTGTTTTTCAGGTCAGACAGGTAATGTGCCCACGTCGTAACAAGGTTCCAGGGTGGCACATCTCAGATGCCGCCGCGTGAAAACACCCAATTGTCAGGCTCATGAACAACAAAAGGATCTCCGGATGTTTTTATAGGGGCTAAAACATTTATGTAGTAAAACGCTTTGGTGGTTACAATTACTTTTTCTCCTGGCACATGTGCAGAGGCTGTGATCCATAACACCTGCCATTCACAATGCACCTCTCAGCAGCTGGGGCATGGTAACCCAGGCACTATCCACGCTGGCAGCCAAAACGAACTACAAAAAAGTACAGGTGGCCGGCCGCGGTGGCTCACATCTGCAATCCCAGCACTCCAGGAGGCTGAGGTAGGCGGATCACCTGAGGTCAGGAGTTCAACACTGGCCTGGGTAACATGGCGAAACCCCCTCTCTACTAACAATACAAAAATTAGCCAGGCATGGTGGTCGACACCTGCAATCCCAGCTACTCAGGAGGCAGAGGCAGGAGAATTGCTTGAACCTGGGAGGCAGGGGTTGCAATGAACCAAGATGGTGCCACTGCACTCCATCCTGGGTGACAAGAGTGAAACTCCATCTCAAAAAAAAAAAAAAAAAGTACAGGTAAGAACAAATTAAGGGACCCAGGCAATGACCACCAAAAGCTGCTAATGTTACAAATTAGGGGGGACACCCAGACATTTTCACCTCTGCATGCACCACCACCTATAAGGCTGTTCTGGCAAAAAAAAAAAAAAAAAAAAAAAAGCAAAACAAAGCAAAACAAAACACACTTGAGTCTGATGGAATCCCCGGGTCTAGTCACCAGTTTATAGAAATGACAAGGGGAAGGGACATAGTGAACAGATGCTGGCAGAATCCAATTGCAAAGGCAGGTATGAGGAACTACACAGGACAAAAGACCCCATGAGAAAAAAGCAGCGGGTGCCGGGCCTGGGGGCTCACGCCTGTAATCTCAACACTTTGAGAGGCTGAGGCGGGCGGATCACTGGAGACAGGAGTTCGAGACTAGACTGGCCAATATGCGAAACCCCGTCTCTACTAAAAACAAAAATGAGTCGGGTGTGGTGTTGCATGCCTGTAATCCCAGCTACTTAGGAGGCCAAGGCAGGAGAATCACTTGAACCTGGGAGGTGGAGGTTGCAGTGAGCCAAGATAGTGCCACTGCACGCTAGCCTGTGCGACAGAGCGAAGACTCTGTCTCAAAAAAAAAAAGAAAAGAAAATAACTATGCAGACGGTAAGAGAAACCTACGCACTGATTATTCGAGGACAGTAAGAAATTATTATTCATTTTTTAGGTGTGATAATGACACTGTGTTTTTTTTTTTTTTAAGAATTCTTATCTTCTAGAAATTTTGGTTGAAATATTTATAGACAAAGTAAGATGACATCTGTGATTTGCTTCTAAATAACTGGGGCGAGGGGGAAAGGTGAATGGGGGCGAAGATAAAGAAGCCTGCCACACGATGATAGCTGCTGAAGCCGGCAACAGCCATGTGGAAGCTTGTTACTCTACGTCTATGTTTGAAATTGTCCATGATAAAAAGTGTGTTTTTAAAAAAGAAGCTGGGCATAGTGGCTCACGCCTGTAATCCCAACACTTTAGGAGGCCAAGGTGGGAGGATCGTTTGAGGCCAGGAGTTCCAGACTAACCTGGGCAACATGGTGAGACCCCGTCTCTACAGAATTAAAAAATAATTTTAAAAAGTAACCACGTTCACTTCAGAAAACATGGAAAACACAGAAAAGTATAAAGAAAGACACCCATATGAATCTTACCACTCAAAGTTACCCCAAACAGAAGTCTCATTCTCATTGTAATTATTCAAGCAATCCACATTTACTATAAAAATACTGGGGGAAAAGGTTGCAGAGAAAGAGAGAAAAGCAAGTATGGGATACACACAGGGTCTCAGGTTCATGAGAAAAACAAATTTTTTGAATTTTGAATTGGATAATTGAAATTCAAAATTAAGTGGCATCAAGAATTCAGTTGGGGCCGGGCGCAGCAGCTCACGCCTGACATCCGAGCACTTTTGAGAGGCTAAGGTGGGTGGATCACCTGAGGTCAGGAGTTCCAGACCAGCCTGGCCAACATGGTGAAACCCCGTCTCCACTAAAAATACAAAAATTAGCCAGGTGTGGTGATGTGCGCCTGTAATCCCAGCTACTCAGGAGGGTGAGGCAGGCGAGACTTGAACCTGGGAGGCGGAGGTTGCAGTGAGCTGAGATCACACCCCTGCACTCCAGCCTGGGCGACAGAGTGAAACTCTGTCGCAAAAAAACAAAAACAAACAAACCAAGAATTCAGTTGGACACATTAACTATGTAAAAAGGGGAAAAAAAGGTCGGGCGCGGTGGCTCATGTCAGTAATCCCAGTACTTTGGGAGGCTGAGGCGGATGGATCACAAGGTCAGGAGATCAAGACCATCCTGGCTAACATGGTGAAACCCCGTCTCTACTAAAAATACAAAAAATTAGCAGGGCGTGGTAGCAGGCGCCTGTAGTCCCAGCTACTCAGGAGGCTGAGGCAGGAGAATGGCGTGAACCGGGAGGCGGAGCTTGCAGTGAGCAGAGATGGCACCACTGCACTCCAGCCTGGGGAACAGAGAGACTCCATCTCAAAAAAAAAAAGAAAAAATTAAGTGGCATCAAGAATGACAGCACACACACACCTCACCCCCACTTCCCCATAACCGAAGAAGGCTGTCTGAATTCCCCCCATGACAGGCTCATGGTGCTTTTAGGACACCAGGCTAAATCGATGACACTGTTTTTCTCCTATGGAAGCTGCAAATTCATTTAGTCATTAATTTGTTCACTCAACAAACAGAACTCAGTTGCTGTGTACCTAATACCAGCCAGTGCCTGCGCTAGGTCTCTGGTGAAAGATCATAAATTCTCGGCCCCAGCTACAGGGAGCTTATGGTCTAGGAGAAACGCTATGACGGACACCCGGGCAGTTCCTCCAACTCAACACCAAGCAAACCTGAATCAGAATCCACGCACTCTCCCCTGTGCCTGGGGGCTCTGGCAAGATGCTTACCCACCACGCATACTGTCAGACACCCAGTGGAGCGAGATCAGCTCTAAGCTGGGTCACAAGTCATTTTTATTTCCCCCGCCAATAATTAAAAATATTGAAGATTTGGAATTATATACCTCCAGTAAAAAATAGGGGTGAATTCTGGCATCCTTCCTGAGTGGGAGCCGTATAGGAAGTGTGTGTGGCATGCACCTGTCCCAAGGTGAAGAGGGCGGCCCCGATCACACAGCTTTGGAAAATGGTGTGGGCACCAACCTCCCACCAAATCCAAGCACGTCCATAGACCTCCCATAGACCTCCCACCAAATCCAAGCACATCCAAGGCAATCACATTCCAACGCGGCAAGAAAATTTGTAGTTTACAGTAAAGAAATTCACAATTTCCAGTAGCAATGGCAATAGCAGGTACCAAAGCCCAAGAGAAAACAGACACAGTAATTCCTGACATTCGGTGGTGAATTTCCCATTTAGGGTGACAAAAACTTAAGCATCTAACTTCCTTGCTCTGAAATCCTTAAAATTTCTTGATGACTTTCAACGTAACAGGCTTAAGAAGCATTTTTTGTTTTTTGTTTTGTTTTGTTTTTTATTGAGATGGAGTCTTGCTCTGTCGCCCAGGATAGAGTACAGTGGCGTGATGTCAGCTCACTGCAACCTCCGCCTCCCGGGTTCAGGCGATTCTTCTGCCTCAGCCTCCCAAGTAGCTGGGACTACAGGCACAAGCCACCACGCCCAGCTAATTTTTGTATTTTTAGTAGAGACAAGGTTTCACCATATTGACCAGGGTGGTCTTGAACTCCTGAACTCAAGTGATCCACCCACCTTGGCCTCCCAAAGTGCTGGGATTACAGGTATGAGCCACCACGCCCGGCCAGGCTTAAGAATCTTTACCTAACCAGGCAGGGTGCGGTGGCTCACGCCTGTAATCCCAGCACTTTGGGAGGCTGAGGCGGGCGGATCACAAGGTCAGGAGATCGAGAACATCCTGGCTAACACGGTGAAACTCCGTCTCTACTAAAAATACAAAAAATTAACCGAGCATGGTGGCGGGCACCTGTAGTCCCAGCTCCCTGGGAGGCTGAGGCAGGAGAATGGCGTGAACCCGGGAGGTAGAGCTTGCAGTGAGCTGAGATCGCGCCACTGCACTCCAGCCTGGGCGACAGAGCAGACTCCATCTCGAAAAAAAAAAAAAGAATCTACCTAACCAAAAAGAAGTTTGTAACAGCCTGTGCTACATATATGACTACTTAGGTATAAGTTTTCTAAAATTAAAAAAAAAAAGTGAGGCCAGGTACAGTGGCTCACGTCTGTAATCCCAGCACTTTGGGAGGCCGAGGGGGGCAGATCACAAAGTCAAGAGATCGAGACCATCCTGGCTAACACAGCGAAACCCCATCTCTACTAAAAATCCAAAAAATTAGACTGGCGTGGTGGTATGTGCCTGTAATCCCAGCTACTCAGGAGGCTGAGGCAGGAGAATCACTTGAACCCAGGAGGTGGAGTTTGCAGTGAGCCATTGCACACCACTCTGGGCAACAGAGCAAGACTCCGTGACAAAAAAAAAAAAAAGAAAGACAAAAGAAGCAAACAGCTCTTTTCTAGGAGGGTGGACACAGACATCCACTTAATGTTTTTCCTTCTGCACATGTGCTTTGTTCTTGTAAATTTTACATGCTGCCTACATAGATATTGCTCACATGTGCAGGTGAAGTCAAATAAAAACAGACAGGCACAGTGCACCGAGCACTTCACACACATCTAATGCACCAAGTCAGCGGGTGGGCATCCGTGTAGCCTGACAGCTCCACCACGATGCCTGGTAATGCACCCACTGAGAACACGAGCTCCCTGGAGCATAAATGTGCAAGGACTGTATACACTGATAACATTTCATAAATAACAAACCCGCTACTGGCCTATTTGTAGACAATCTGAGGTCGAAATTTTTTCCCCTTGAGTTAGAAAAAAAAAATACCGTGAAAACCTCCTTCAAGATTCACTAAAGCTGGGTCTGACTGGGGAGTGTACCTGTTTCCATGGCTGGAGCAGGAAACCTGAAAACAAGACTGTTTAATGGAAGTACTTGGTGAACCTGAGTTACATAAAAGTGCATCTGTAAAGCAGGTCTCTAAGGGGGGCCTGGGGAGCCTACCTGTCATTTTCTTACTGGAAGGGAGAGTGGCCAGCAAATGCATTTAATGGCCCCAAACAGAAGAGAGTACATTGGTTATGGAAAAGAGAGAGCAGAGTAATAACTGAGGCAAAGAACAACTTTGTTATCTCCTGGGTTCTGATTTTACCAAAATGCACACCTTTCAGCATGGCTAGGAAAAGGTATACTTCCCCTCTCACGCCCCAAGAGGGAGTGAGTCATTGTTGATGTTGCATTGTAAATTATTCAATGCGATATTTGTAACCAAACATGCCAAGACTCTAAAAATGGGGAGAAGTTTACAGACACAAACTTTGGGCCCTGGGAATTACCCCAGCAAAAATTCCCCAGACGCAAGGCGTTTATAAAAGGGAGTAATTAGACAGACAACCCTGGAACAAGAACCACATTGAAGAAATATAAACACTGGTGATGAGTTAGAGGCAATCACTAAATAGAAAAAGAAAGTGGCTCCAGAGGAAATGAGTAATTAAACAGGCTTTCTCCTGATCAACAGACCTTGAGGTCCGGGGCTGAGCACAGGGTGCGGAGGGCGGGCGGTGGAGCTGGAAAGGAGGGAACCGGAATGGGCAGGAGGTGACCATGGGATGCTTTGAAAAGGCACCAACAGGCCTGGGCAGCCATCCAGGCCCAGCTGGGTCTCTCTGCCCCGGCGACCTCGGGCCCAGGGGAATCTAATTTGAGCTTGGGGTCCTGCTACTCCATCCCAGGAGCACTCACTGGCGAGGTAAACTGAGGCACAGGCTTCCTGTCCTCTCCTCTCCCTGCCAGGCCTCTGCTCCTTCAGCACAGTCCAAACTACTAGGGAGCTCGCACTTCCCGGAGCAACACCCTTCCCACTGTCCTGGGTGAGTGTGCTGGGGCCCCCCAGGACCCAGACTGGATGGGGTCGGGGTGATCCAAGGGTCCAGACCAGACAGGGTCAGAGGTGGCCACTGGGGTCCAGGACCGCAGGGATCAGGCACTGAGGTGACTTGAGGCCCTGGCTGGTGGGGGTCGGGGGTAGTCCTGAAAACCAGGCCAGGCTGGGGTGACCCTGGAGTTCAAGCTGGTGGGGGTCCGGGGTGACCTGGAAGGGTTGAGGGTGATCCCCAGGCCCAAGAAACAGGGACTGGGGTCAGGGTGACCTCAGTGTCCAGCTGGGCGGAGCTGGGGTGGGAGTGGCCCTGCGAGCCCAGGCTTGTGGGGTTAGTGGTCGGGGTGGCCCGGGGGGGGGGCCTAGGAAGTGGGGGTCATGGTTGACCTTGCGTGTTTACGCGGGGTGGGGACGTAAACGACCGCAGGGATCTAGGCCAGTAGGAGTTAAGAATGACCACCGAGTCCAGGCCAGTGGGAGCTGGGGGACAGCAGGGATCTGGGTCAGGGGTGACCTAAGAAGCCCAGCCAGGTGGGCTTGGGGTAGGGGTGGCTCCAGGAGCCCAGGCCGGTGGGAGATGAGGTCAGGGGTGACCCCAGGAGCCGCGAAGTGTGGGTAGGGGTTGACCCGAGTACAGGCCGGTGGAGGTCGGGAGCGACGGGGTGTCCAGGCCGGCGAAAGTGGAGGAGAATCCTCAGGCCGGAGGGTCCAGAATTGGGGTCTAGGTGACCCCAGGGACCCAGGAGGCGGGGGTCGGGGTTGACCCCGGGGTCCAGGCCGGTCGGGGGTTAACGGGGGTGGCTGGGGGTGGTGGGGGCTCAGGCCAGGTAGGCTGTAGGGGGATCCCCAGGTCTGGGCCTCAGAGATCGAGGTCGGGGGTGAGCCCCGGGTGCGGGCGGCGGGGGTCGCGGGGGCACTCACTGCTTGGGCAGCTGCAAGGCGGGCGCGCCGCGCCGCTGGAAGGCCCCGTCCACGAAGACGCCGTTCTTGCCGAGGCAGCGCAGGTAGAAGTGCGGCTCCTGGAAGCTGAGCTGCAGGTGGCGCCGCGAGATGAAGCTGGACAGGCCCATGTTCAAGTCCACCGAGCCCTGCGACGAGTTGCGGCCGATGGTGACGCTGGGCTGGCGCATGAGGAACTCGAACTCGCGGCCCTCCAGCCGCGCCAGCGCCGGCCCCGGGCTCTGCCGCACCGAGGCGGCCGCCGCGGCCACCAGGGCCGGCGCCGCGCCCGCGCCCCCGGAGTCTCCGGATACCCCGGAGGAGCCCCCGGAGGAGCCCCCGGAGGAGCCCGCGCCCGCGATCGCGCCGGGAGGCAGCGGCGGCGGCGGCGGCAGCGGCGGCCCAGGCGGAGGCTGGGGCTGCGCTGGGGCCGGCGGGGGCGCGGCCGCGGGGAAGGCGGCGGCGGCGGCTGCGGCGCACAGCACGGGGCTGCAGGGCGCCGAGCGCAGCGCGAGCAGGGCGCGGGCGCCGCTGTCCTCGCCGACTTCGGCCATGTTCGCGCGGCTCCGAGCGGCCTCCGGCGGCGGCGGCTGCAGCGGCGGCGCGGGGGGCGGGGAGGCCGGGGCGCTGGGCGGGCGCGGAAACCCGGACCAGATCGCGCCGGCGCGGAGCGGAGCCTCCCAGCCCACCGTGCGCCTCGCCGGCCCGCCGGTCCCGCCCAGCGCAGCCCACGCGGCGCGCGCCAGCTGGGGGCCGGGGGCGAGGCCTGTGCTGGCAGGGCTGGGGGGTCCCCCGGAGAGCTGGACCCGGCGCACCTAGCCCCCTGCCCGCGGGGCTGCAGCCGGTGGACGCCCTTTCCTCCATGGGGGGAACAGGGGACCCTTGAAATGCCCATCTGGAAAGTTTTGAGCCTGGGTCACTGGAGAAAGGAACAGATGACCTCAGCTGTGTCTCCGCCCCAGCCACTCCAGCCCCCCAACCCTAAAGTGTAAGATAGATAGAAGATAAAATATGTGTGTATTATATATAATACATATGTTTATATTTTAATCTCGCTCTGTCGCCCAGGCTGGAGTGTAGTGGCACAATCATAACTCACTGCAACTTCCACCTCCTGTGCTCAAGGGACCCTCCTGCCTCTGCCTGCCAAGTGCCACCATGCCCAGCTAATTTTTTTACTTTTTATAGAGACAGGGTCTTGCTATGTTGGCCAGGCTGGTCTCAAACTCCTGATCTCAAGAGATCTATCTATCTCGACCTCCCAAGGCGCTGGGATTACCCGTGTGAGCCACAGTGCCAGGCCTGATCATTCTTAAACCCTCAGATTAAAGGTCATCATACTTTACTGTAACTGAAGACCACTTGAGATGGATACCTGAATCCCTGATCCCTTCTTTCCTTCCTTCTTTCCTTCCTTCCCTCCCTCCTTCCTTCCCTCCTTCCTTCCTTCCCTCCCTCCCTCACTCTCTCCCTCCCTCTCTCCCTCCCTCGCTCTCTCCCTCCCTCCTTTCTTTTCTTTTCTTTTTTTTTTTTTTTTTTTTGAGATGGAGTCTGGCTCTGTCGCCCAGGCTGGAGTGCAGTGGCCGGATCTCAGCTCACTACAAGCTCCGCCTCCCGGGTTTACGCCATTCTCCTGCCTCAGCCTCCCGAGTAGCTGGGACTACAGGCGCCCGCCACCTCGCCCGGCTAGTTTTTTTTTTTTTTGTATGTTTTAGTAGAGACGGGGTTTCACCGGGTTAGCCAGGATGGTCTCGATCTCCTGACCTCGTGATCCGCCCGTCTCGGCCTCCCAAAGTGCTGGGATTACAGGCTTGAGCCACCGTGCCTGGCCTCTTTTCTTTTTTTATTACTTTCCTTTCCTTTCCTTTTTTTCTCTCTCTTTCTTTCTTTCTTTCTTTCTTTCTTTCTTTCTTTCTCTCTTTCTCTCTTTCCCTCCCTCCCTCCCTTCCTTCTCTCTCTCTCTCTCTTTCTTGTCTTTTTCTTTTGAGACAGGGTCTCACTCTGTCACCCAGGCTGGAGTGCAGTGGCGCAGTCATAGCTCACTGCAGCTCGACCTCCCAGACTCAGGTGATTTTCCCACCTCACCCTCCCAAGTAGCTGGGACTATGAGCCACCATGCCCAACTAATTTTTAATTTTTAAGTTTTCTCTTTTTTTTTAATTTTGAGACAGAGTCTTACTCTGTCATTCAGGCTGGAGTGCAATGGTGCAGTCTTGGCTCACTGCAACCTCTGCCTCCCGGGTCCAAGCGATTTTCCTGCCTCAGCCTCCCAAGTGTCTGGGATTATAGGCATCTGCCACCACACCCAGCTAATTTTTGTATTTTTAGTAGAGATGGAGTTTCACCATGTTGGTGAGGCTGGTCTTGAACTCCTGACCTCAGGTGATCCACCCACCTCGACCTCCCAAAGTGCTGGGATTGCAGGCGTGAACCACCTCGCCCGGCCTTTTTAAATTTTGTATAGTGACAGGGTCTCGTTATATTGCCCAAGCTGGTCTCCAACTCCAGGGCTCAAGCAGTCTCCCACCTCAGCCTCCCAAAATGCTGGGTTACAGGCGTGAGCCACCGCGCCCAGCCTAGCTCTCTTTCTTTTTAGAGCCCTTCATTCACTCATTCGATATGCTAGATCCAGGCAAGACAGATCTGAGAGAATGCCCCAGAGAGAAATGTTAGCTGAAAACAGGGAGTGGCAAACGTGGGCATCACTGGGATCCCTTTGGGACTTCAGTAGCCTGGTCCTCCATTGCCAATTCAGATCCCCCTAAAAAGGCGGTGCAGTTTCCACATTTCCCTCATTTATGAATTATTAAGGGTGGGAAAGGAGACACAGTTCCCACCCTGATGGAGATTATAGTCGAGGGGGAGATGCAGATATTAAATCAAAGACACATCTAGTAAAAGTAAAATCAAGTCACAGCTATGATACATCCAGTGATGGACTAGTGCATGGTGATGTGCGAGTATAGACGAGAGACTGGGCCTAAGGCGGGAGCTTCCCTGCCCCGCACACACCGTGCTCCAATCTGGGGCTGAAATAGGTATTAATCTCATCTCTCAGTCTTGAATATGTGCATGCAAACAGAGGTAAGTGGGAGGCAAGGAAAGCATTTTTTTTTCTTTTTTTTTTTTTTTTTGAGACAGAGTCCCCCTCAGTAGCCCAGGCTGGAGTGCAGTGGCGCGATCTCGGCTCACTGCAACCTCCGCCTCCCGGGTTCAAGCGAGTCTTCTGCCTCAGCCTCCTGAGTAGCTGGGACTACAGGTGTGCACCACCACACCCGGCTAATTTTTGTATGTTTAGTAGAGATAGGGTTTCACCATGTTTGCCAGGATAGTCTTGATCTCTTGACCTCATGATCCGCCTGCCTCGGACTCCCAAAGTGCTGGGATTACAGGCACTTTGGCGTGAGCCACGGTGGCCAGCCAAGGAACGCATTTTTAGCAGGAGCAGTTACTAGAGTACCTGCTTGATTGAGGTGGGGAGGATGGTAAACAGAGTCGGGGGCTCCTCCCTGAGGTCTAAGGGATGCCTGATTAGAGAAGTGGCAAGGGACTGTGAGGGCAGTGCCCCTGCCAGGAAACTGTGTGTGATAAAGAAGGAAGTATGGGACATGGAGGGGTAGGCAGGTGGCCACTGTGTGTGGAACCGAGTGGCCATGTTCAACTGAACCAGGTTAGGCTAAGGAGGGAAGAAGGGCCGAGATGGGTCCTATAGGATCTGGGGCTGATCCTAGAGTAGTGGGAAGCCACTGAGGGGCTTTAAGTGCAAGACGGCAGGCACACTGACGTGCAGTATCTGAAATGCAATCATTCCCGCTGCCATGGGGATCCTGAACCTGAAATAGGCCAGAATGACGGCGGAGGTTCCTTAGGAAGCTGGAGACCAGCAAGAGAAGCGAAAGGAGAGAGGTGCAGAGAAGCAAAAGGATGCAGGAGATATTGATCTCCTGCAAAGGCATTTACACACACACTGTTGGTGGGAATGGAAGATGGGGTAGCCTCTGTGGGAAACATCATGGAGGGTCCTCAAAAAGTTAAAACTAGGCAGGGTGCAGTGGCTCACACCTGTAATCCCAGCATTTTGAGAGGCTGAGGTGGGTGATCACCTGAGGTCAGGAGTTTCAGACCAGCCTGGCCAACACGGTGAAACCCTGTCACTACCAAAATACAAAACAAAAAAAAATACCCGGGGTGTGGTGGTGTGCACCTGTCCCAGCTACTCAGGAGGCTGAGGCATGAGGATTGCTTGAACCTGGGAGGCAGAGGTTGCAGTGAACCGAGATCGCGCTACTGCGCTTCAGTCTGGGTGATAGAGCGAAGTTCTGTCTCAATAAATAAACAAATAAATAAATAAATAAACTAGAGTTCCCATAAGATGCAATGCAGACTTCCACTTCTGGGTTTATACCCCAAAGAACTGCAAGCAGGGTCTTGAAGAGACACTTGCGTGCTATGCTCACAGCAGCGTTATTTATTCACAAGAACCAGCAGATGGAAGCAATCCAAGCATGCATTTACCCCTGTGGTACCACATCCAGTGGGGTATGATTCAGCCTTGAAAAGGAAGGAAACTCTGACATACGTGACATGTGAAGGGATGGACTTTGAGGACATTATGCTCAGTGAAATAAGCTGGTCACAGAAAGACAAATGCAGTGTGATTCCATTTCTATGGGTTCCCTTGGGCAGTAAGAGTCATAGAGACAAGAGTAGAATGCTGGGTGCCAGAGACTGGGAGAGGGGAGACGGGGAGTTACTGTCGAATAGGGACAGAGTTTCTGTTTGGGAAGATGAGAACATTTTGGAGGTGGATGATGGTGTTGGTTGCATAACACTGTGAGCGTGCTTGATGCCACTGATCTGTGCACTTAAAAATGATTCAGATGGCCGGGCGTGGTGGCTCATGCCTATAATCCCAGCACTCTGAGAGGCTGAGGCAGGCAGATCACTTGAGCTCAAGAGTTCGAGACCAGCCTGACCAACATGGTGAAACCCCATCTCTACTAAAATAGAGATGGGCATGGTGGCAGGCGCCTGTAATCTCAGCTACTCAGGAGGCTGAGGTAGGAGAATCACTTGAACCCAGGAAGCGGAGGTTGTAGTGAGCCGAGATTGCGCCACTGCACTCCGGCCTTGGAGACAGAGTGAGACATGAGACTCTGTCTCAAAAAAAAAAAAAAATACGGTTAAGATGTTAAATTATATGTTATGTGTATTTTACCACAATGGTAAAGGGAGAGATTTACATACAATCTCCTCATACAGTCTCTTCCTTTGGACTCATTGAGATGACTTCTGACTTCTTAATGGCAGATTTATTTAATGACAAGAGGCATGTATGTACCTCCAGGCCCCACAGGCCTAACAATATTAAATGTAAAGAATTGTAGGCTGGGCGTGGTGGCTCATGCCTGTAATCCCAGCACTTTGAGAGGCTGAGGCGGGTAGATCACCTGAGGTCAGAAATTTGAGACCAGCCTGCCTAATATGGTGAAACCGAGTCTCTACTAAAATACAAAAATTAGCCAGGCATGGTGAAGGGCACCTGTAATCTCAG